GAGTAGGGGTTGTATTTCAGACAAGAATAAAACAGTAAAAGATGTAACATTTTTGCACTTACAACAGCAGGACTTTGAATGTCATCTCCTACTGTCAAAGCAATGTCCAACTGAAGGAGTCATGAGGAACTTTGCATCATTGGTACCAATGCTGGAAAACGGCTTGACATGAGCTGGCCAACATGGGGAGTAGTGTAATGCCACGACACCATCTCTAATTACTTACGTTTATCCATAACATCAATTCATAGAATGAGTGGCTTGAAGAAGCCTGAAAACAAACGTGGCCTCATTTACTGGAAGCTGAATCCCCAAAACTCCTGCTTAGTGTCATAAGGACTAAAGATGCTGGGCAGGGGGGGATTCAATGCTTTGGAGGATAGAAGTCCGTAAGAGGTCAATTATTGTGGTATTTTGGCAGGAGGCATTTGAAGAAAATTGCCCTTAAATCTGTGACTCATTTTCTCCTGGATTCTAGGAAATTCTCCTTTTGACAGATTAAAAAGTAGTGCAAAAGAATTAAAGTGTGTTGGAATACCTAAGAGCAGGGGGAAATGGGCTAAGGGGAACCCTTGCTGAAGTGGGATCGGGTTTGGCTGCTGTAATCTAGGCAGCAATTAGGTCTAAGTGTGTGCATGGCAAAGTTCGGCTATTGGCAAAGGTAAAAAAGCAGAAACTGCGGCTGCCCTGGTTAACTGTGCTCAGAGAACTTTAGTGAGCAGTCTAGATGGTACCAATTTATAATACCACAGTCTATATTGGTAAGAAATGCTACTGAGTAGGTGGTTGACCCTGTGATCTTTTAAACTTCAGATAATCTTTAGGCCCATCTTGAATTTGTTGCTCTGGCTTTTATAAATGATAAAAAGAGATGGAGCATCCAAGTAGGAGTTGCAGGACTTGGTTTCTGATTATCAATGTGACCTGATACATTAATATGTATCTGTTAAGCATAACTGTCCCCTGAAGGCAAACATACTCAGATGAAAAGAACACGGAACAAAAGTGTATGAAAGTCCAGATAATATTGAGTTAAAAATGGGAATTCACCACCCTCCCTGATTTTACCTTAAAAATGGACCCATCAAAATTTCCCAATGAAACTTCTTACTCTTCAAAAAAATACTGCTTAGTGAGACTTTATCTATTTGGCTGAAATTCTAACTGGAAAATACATTAGAAATATTTAAATATTTCTAAAAGATTGTGAGAGTTTAAAACTTTTTAACCCTTATTCAGTACCAAACTAAATTTTAAATTCCATCTGGGGAATAGCAGTATCATGTTTTAACTTGTTCTAGTCAAACCTGTGCTAAACAGATAGAATAGGAACTTGCAATTTCCTCCCACTGTAAAGGTGTTGGTCGTTCAGTAGATATATATTCCTGATCACATTTTTTTTTTCTCAGAAGCGAAGGCTGTAATTAAAAAAAAACAAACCAAACAATACTGAGGCAAATCTATAAAGTGGATTACTGTAGAGTATGGAGAAAATGACCTTCTGAAGTTAAAGGAGAAGCTGAAATAGCCAATAATTGAAATGTCATAGGAGGAACTGAGCTGTTAAGAAAAAGCAAATATTTAAAGATGAGAAATATTTAACAAGTCACTGGATTAATTTCTCTGCCAAGTTCATCAGAAGCAAATATATTTCTATTTGATGTCCCTGACATCAGGTAGAATCTGACTAACCCTATAGGCATAAAACAACCTTGGAGGCCTCTTTAGTCCAGAATAGTTTTAATGCAGAATTCCCATCAGTGAACACATATTTTTCAGTGAGGTAGATCCACCTTGGTGTTGAAGACAAACAACTGCATTTTATGAAAGAAAGTTATAACTGCTGTACAGATAACTGCTTATTCTTCCATCTTTTACTACTTGCTCTGAAGGATCTGCTGTTCTAGCAGAATCCAGCTCTTTTATTACAAGCTATGTAAGAGATACTCCTGTCACTTAACATACAGAAGATGTATGTCCCTTCAGGGAGCTGTTCTGAGTTTTGCTCTTCTCTTTCACTGGTTTCTCACCATCTCTCCTCCATGGAAATATCGTCGCGATTAAGCCAACAATCACAAATTAAAATCAGATTAAGATTTCAAGGTGATTCCTTCTCTGTTTTCTTCATCTCCAGCCTAATTGCACAGGCTTAGCAAAGGTGTATACTTTCATGTTTTCAGTCAAACTGCACCATCCCTCAAATTATGAACAGCCTCATATTCAAAAGATTGTGTCTTAGAGGGACATAATTTCATTTTAAAAAAAATGCTGGGAATAGGTCTCCAGACAGAGTCTGTCTATGCAATGCTTTGAAATGATTAAGAATTCCTATTCCTCCTAATTCTTCCTAATGACACAGTGGGAATGAAGCTGTTCAGTGGGAAGCGGGCAGTGCCCCAGTGAGGACGGATGGATGGCTCCTGCTCAGTGCTCGGTACCTCCCTCCCCATTCTCTGGAAGCAGCTGGGATCGCAGGGAGCCGAGTCAGTGAAACGAAGGCTGCGCTCCTCGTTACTGACCAAATCACTGCGCAGACACTCCTGTAGGACTGCTGCCCGTGGGTGGATGTCAGCGCCTGCACGAGGGCAGGGGAAAGCCTCAACTGCTATTATTTTAACTAATATCTAAAAGGTTCGTCTTCAGTGCCTTTTTCATTGGACTAGCTTGTGGAACCAATATCTGTGTCAACACTGCAAAACCTTAGCCCTGTATTTCAGTTCAGTCTGAATTTTATCTTTGTGCGTACTACTTTTAAGAAGAAACAAACATAATAATCCGGTTTTTTAACATGGCAGAGTATACACACTCCTAATAATACTAATGACAACATCTGTGCCATTACATTAAATGAAAAAGATGATTTGTGTATGTTTACAGTAGCCCATGATTTAATTTACACACAACTGAATTGGTTAAATTTACAATTTAAACAGTAGATCATCTGTATGTACATCTTGTAGTTGGACGATTCCTAGATTATTGTTATATTGATAAAATTAATGTATTAAAGGAATATATATGGCCCAGCCTAAGCTTGCTCATTAAAGACTCAACACATGGCATTTTATTGACTGAAAGGGAGGAAAATTAAACATTTTGCATACTTCAGTACTGTAGCAAATGACTGCATTGACAAGGTCACCATGCTAAATTGACATCATCCACACCACATCCAACTTCTAAAAACCCTCCAATATTTGCATGGTGATGCCTGTAAAAACCTCATCAAGTGCCAGACTCTTAAGATTTTTCTCCCTTCTTGCCTGTTTAATAAGCAGTTGTTTGGGTTTTTTTTATTAAGAATTCAGTATGCTTTTAATTTATACAGGAAAAAAAAGCTTGAGTGGTCTGATTTTTTTGGTGGTAACATGGCTTGCTTTATAAAACACCATTTCTTCCTCTACTACATGCATAATTGTATTTCCAAAGGTAACTCTCATTGAGTCAGCTAACTAGCAATTTCTTTTGTAATCAGAACCTAATTAGGTTGTTGTTTACAGTATAAGTGATCAATAGCTTTTATTGTGGATCACACAGTGTCAAAGCTCTAATAATTGGTATTAAATGTAACAGAGATACTGTAATCAAACCAAATATAAAGAAATCTTCAAAAAGTACGTACTATACTGGGAGGTTATTAAAATTCCCGATACTGCTTAAAATGTTTAATGTGCTGAATACAAATGATCTTTTAAAGAAAGCTTTGTGGATCAAAGATGAATTTAATAATTGTAATGTTTATGAATTTGTTTTGAAAATATTTTTAATTGGATAATGTCAGACTTTTGAATTATAATGCTATGTTCATTAGCATTTCAATAGGTTATATTATCAACTCCTTTTGACATAAAATAATTTGATTTATTTTTTAAATCATGAATCTCGTAATCTTTCTTCTGTTGTCACTAGTTTTCAATAATTTGATTAGCTTCTACAAGAGCAACAGGAACCACATGGGCTTTGCTGGTAATGATGTGCTATATATTTCTTCCGTGAAAGCAGCTTTGATGCCTTTGAAAGTTATTTGCAGTTTCTTATCAGTACAGAATTAAAGAGTAATATTGTCTAATTTGTTATGTTCAGTGGCACAGAGTATCCTAGAATTCTATCACACACACAGTGCTTTGAAACCCATGTTATTTGACCATAATCAAGAGTACATAAGTGAATTTCAGAATTTATGACACTGTTTGTTATTAGCTAAGAAAAAGATCAAAAGATGAACTTGTCAATAGGTTTAATAATCTCTTAGTAAGATGTGTATTCTGCACACTCCCAAACTTCATTGCCATTTATAAAACAGTAATTGTACTTTATAGTTGTATTGCAAATAACTGATCTGGACTTTTCAGAGCAGGCCTGGGCATAATTGTGTAAGTCTCAATGTAAATCTGTAAATTCAACATGATGAACTCCCTGCTTGGTAAAGTTATCTTCTACTTTCAATAGAAACAAAAACTGATTACTGTTGATCATTTAGACATAACTGCTTGTAACAGTCAACAAGCCATCACAGTAAGGTATAAAGACAGCCCTTAGGAGAAATGCTGCCTATTTGATGACATTTAAAGCTTTAAAGAATTCCTTCTAGATACCACAGAAAATCATCATGAGCCAGCACAGGCTGTCAATGTCACTGAATGAAAACCAAAGCGATCAAATCATGTATACTGGCAATATTGCCATCCAAACCATTAAAACAATTTATGGAACTGGTCTTGCAAACAGTTCATCATGTCAGCAATGCCAAGGTCTGCAGTATGAACTACCAGGGTGAGAAAAGCCTGTCACATAGGTGAGTGTGCATGATGCTGCCTTGTAATTGGAACAACCATCCTTTTGCGTTGATTTTAGCAGTCTAAGAAATAAAACACCGTTGAAATGATATCCTACTCCCTCTTTTCCCTCTACAATAGTGTGATAAAAGAAGTAAGGCATAAAGTTCCGGTAACTTTTTGAGCTGACGTTATCAGCTACGTATAAACAGATAATGCTGTTTTAGTAGAGCAAATAAATTGTATGTCATTTTTTATTAAACAAACAGTATAATAACTGGACTATATTATCACAATGGAAGCATAGAAGACCATAGACTGTACAGCTGAAACCCTGAAGCAAAATTTGTTTCTACTGCTTATCCTCAAATTTAAAGAAATGTATCTTTATCAAGTTTTCACAATGGCTGCTTCTTGTTAAAGAATCTTCACCTTTGTTAAGGCTAGATGATTATAATTAAAAGATAAATGTACTGTTAGAAAGTTATATGCCACACTATTTTTATGAGAATTTAACTGAAAGACATACATTATACCTGTATGCGAATTATAATGGCTTCTCAGGAGGGAACGCAGAATCACTTACAGTACATAAACATTTAAAGAGGAAAATGCTAATACACTGAAAGAGTTTAACATCAGTAGCAATTTATCAAATGAAGATGTTTCATAAAGTCCACTCTCTGGGAGAACATTCACCATTAGACAAAAGCCTGGCATCCTTGATAGTCTGAAGTTCAATCAATTTGACAACCAAAATCATTCAATGAGATAAATAGGATCTTAAGAAAACTGCCATCCTCCTTCTTGGGTAAAAGCCAGAATTAAAATAATAATTATTAAAATAATCCAACCAGGTCGCTTTACAGGCAAATTTACACACTGTCTCTTTAAAACACTGCATGCCCAAAAGCCTTTTGGGTTTGGAATGTAGCACTGCACCAAGTATTTCACAAAGCCTCTAAATATCACAAGAAGCTTTTTTAGAGAGAAAAAAAAAAAATTCCAGCTGACTGAAACTGTTCTAGCAGGAGTGCCTCAGCTTAGCTCCCAGACCTGGAATTCCAGATAAACAACAGAGGACAGGAAACAGATTTTTTTTTTTTTTTTTTTTTTTTACAAGTCCTTTTGAAATGCAGCTACAAGACGACTGATGAGCTTAGGGACAAACAGAGTGAGAGTGCAAGTGTCATCAGAGTGAGCGGTGTGCTTAGATAGAAGCTTCTAGGAAGAGCAAGCGAATTCTCCGAAGATATGTGACTGGTAGAGACTCCTGCTGTGTTGTCTTTCCCAATAGCATTCTGCAAGACACAATACTTTCCTTGGTCACCATTACACATTTTCTTTGCAAAAATTTTTAAATCTACATGATGAAGTTCATCTTTTGTTCACGTCCCACCCTCCACTGTTACCTGTATATCACTGTCACAGATTGAAAGATACAAAAGGCATAAAAACAGATGTCACAAGGATTTTAAAGTGAGTTTAAAGGATAAAAACTCCAGTACAGCACAATTCAAAAAAAAGAAGAAAGTATTAAAGAATCCCTGCTTTAGCAATGGTCCCATGTTTAAAACCTACCCTTGTTAAGTATGGCAATTTTTTTAGCGATCTGTGTTTATCATGCGAGTTTATTTTAAAAAGCAAATGTAGGTTGCACAGAGAAACTGCAACTTCTGCACAGTCAACAGAACAACTTTGTTTAAGAAGTTACTTCTGGATAACAATAAATAAAATCTAATCCATGAGATCAGAAAAGACAGAGTTTTCTAGCTTATGAAAAATTTCTTTCTAACGCCTTTTTTCCCTTGATTGCTGCATTACTTACATTCCTTGTCCTCTTTGCTACCAATAATTAAACAGTTTGTATATGTAAGTACAGATTGGCAGACTATAGTGAACTATTTAAGGAGGAGGTGTAGCAAGAATATGTCTCATTGTTATCATCCTCAGCAAAAAGAAAAGCCTAACAGGTATAATCACAGTAGTAGAACAATTTAGACCTGAAGGGACCTCTAAGGTCATTAAGTCCAACCTACTCCATGCAAAGTTGCTCAGACCCTGTCCACGCAGGATCTGAAAATCCCCAAGGACGCAGCTTCTACAGAACGGACAAGCCCTCCCCATCCTGGAGAGGCAATGGGCCAAGGCGCAAGCTAGAAGTACCCAGAAGATCAGTTATAAAGAACGAGTACAGAGCATCAGCATCCACAGGAATGACTGTCTACAGAGCCAGGGAGGCATTCATGGATAAATCTCTGTGCCATTCCCTCATTTCGGTATCACCTGCTAGGACGGGCTAACTGGAAGGCCTTGAGATGCAAACTGCTAGAAGTAGTAGAGGCATTAGAGGAATCATCATGATATGCTTTCCTATACTCAACCCTAGGCATCTGCTTTTTGGAAGCTGTCACAGAGTATGGGGTAAGATGGACCAGCAGTTCTTACGGTAAACTACAGTTACTAGGGCCTTCTTGTGTAAGGTCTTTTAGCTAGCACAAGATGTCGACAGATCTGTTAACATTACTGCATTGTTCCCTCACATGTTATTACATTCTAGTATCTACAGGAAATTCTCAATAGAACCTAAAGAATTGGGAATGAGCTATAAAACTGTCACCGTTTAGAAGAACTGGGCAAATCTGGAATGGTGAAGGAGAACCTGAAAGATACGGTCACATCCTTTTGGTGGCTTATGCCTGTACAGCTGGTCTTGCTCCAATGCCTAGGCTATGTGCTTCCACACTGTAAAAATTAATTTATGTACATCACTAATTATTAAGCTTCCTGAGAGACTCAGTACAAAGGATATGGACTGACGGACATGGAAACTGATGTAATGTTTACGTCTGAAAGGGGGCCTTGGAGGTCAGGCTGAGCAGACTACTCAAACAGCACTGGGAGGTTCGTGTCTCTTGGGGCTGTCAGTCTATCTCCTGATGTATGAGCATCACATCTCCTGATGTGAACATCATTTCATGCCCTAAATTGGTCATTTTTATTAGCCACAGAATGATGTCCAGTATATTTCTGTGTATTTGTTAAAAGCCATATCATCTTGTGTTCCTGCAGATTATTAACTAAGTATACTTGCAAGGTGCAATGGTAATTACCATGGGATCTGCCTAAACATGTGCTATACAGCTATTAAAATACAGTCATCAGAGGCCACTTTGAGCCCAGCTCCAGATTTCTGAGTAAGATCATTCTTTAATACATTATGGTAAGCAAACATAACAATACTAACAAGACTTTACTGTGAGGTAAACCCATTATAATCTCGACAGACTTTGAATGTTTTATATTATGGGGAGACACCTGTGCTGTGAAACATACAGGATCCGTACTCTTACCTCATTAAGACAGAGCTCTGTATCTACAGATTCATTGGATTTCCGCTTCTTCTGTGCCTATGAACAAATACAAAATTTATTCCCTGTACAATTTATACATACAGCAGCACAAAACAATTAGATAAATTTGCATGGGTTGTCATACTCCTATAATTTTGACAGTGATTTGCACATGATTAGCAAATAAACTCTCCAAATGTAACTGCATGTTTTCCAATAACATTCACATTCTGATTTGAATTTACAGCAAAACTTCAAATAGTCAGCTAAGGGTACTTAGTAATTACAATGATGAGTGCCATGAGCTGCAAAAAACATGTTATGTTCTGTGGCCCCTTAAAAATGGTGCCGGATGTTCATGAGAAGAAATGAAATATGACAGTTAATAATTACCATAATACCACTGCACATTAACATCTATCATATGCCTCAGTTTTAGGAAAATATACAACACAGGAGTATTTTATCCTTAATGATTCTTGCAATTTCTCCTTGTATTATCATGAAAATATAAATATAATTTTAATACATTGCATGGCTGCCACAAAGTCTCTTCTAGAAAGTTACAAAAAGAATCGTAGAGTTATAGAATGGTTTGGGTTGGAAGGGACCTTAAAGATCATCTAGTTTGAATGCCCCTGCCATGGGCAGGGACACCTTCCACTAGACCAGGTTGCCCAAAGCCCCATCCAGCCTGGCTTTGAACACTTCCAGGGATGGGGCAGCCACAGCTTCTCTGGGCAACCTGTTCCAGTGCCTCACCACCCTCACAGTGAAGAATTTCTTCCTAATACCTAATCTAAATCTGCCCTCCTTCAGTTTAAAACCGTTACCCCTCATCCTATCACTACGTGCCCTTGTAAAAAGTCCCTCCCCAGCTTTCTTGTAGGCTGCCTTTAGGTACTGGAAGGCTGCTGTAAGAACATTTAATGTCTTTTAAAATACATACCTGTAACTCAAATTCAGCTGTTTGTTTACATTGCATTCACTGATTATTATACATGGAATATTATTAAATGCAGGAATATTTTAGATAATCAAAGCCTAAAAAATGATCTGATATATCTTCGGCCATGTCTTATGATGAGCATCCATCTGTTGCTATTATGGTGTGCTCTCCACACTGACTCAAGTAAGAAACATTTCTGGTGGCAGCATCATACAAAATGAAAGCAGCAGTGTGCACTCTGTCTAGCATCATACGGTGTTTAGCATTTCCATTGCTCAAGTGAACATGACTGGGCTGGGAGTTTTCTGCTTTTCTATAATAGCAATAGCAATCTCCATGGTGCTGAAGATATTTTCAATAGATGGTGCTGTGGCTGATTTAAGTACTTCAGTGATTCTCAATATAATTTCTTTCTTCGTATATTCCAGAAACATAAACAGCACTCTTTCATAGGAGCTACCCATGTTAAACGTACGATCAAGTCTTATAACAGAAGACTTGGATTTACACACTGAAACTACTGACTGCACTGAGCACATCTGATACTTCCTGGAAGTTTTGTGGGACCTTGAATTTATTTCCTGCAAAAATGAGGATGTGAATCTCACTGTGTTGCATTAATTTTGCACTGCAGAATTCCACTGGTTTTGGCAGAGGTGGACTGGACTAAAGCTGATGTGAGGAAGTGCTGAGCATTCTGATTTTATACCCTCAAAAAATTCAGTTCCATGTATGGCTATTTTATTTTGTATCTGAGAGCCACTGGTGCTGCCTATGGATAGAAAATAGTCTTCGACCCAATTACTGATTTTAGAATCCAAATGAAGGAACTGAAGTTCTCATTAGGAAGCACATTCCCTGCTTTTCATGATACTTTTACATTTATAAATAGATATATTAGAGACAACTGAAAAACTAAAACAGCTGGGATATAAGAGAAAGACAGCTTAGCTATAGTAAGAATGCATACTATATATATGTTGATGGTTTTCAAATATATGACAAAATAATAGCTCAATTCATTAATAAACACCCTCTGTGAAATCTCTCTCTTACATACCCTTTCTTCTAATTAGTACCATTAAAGTGGTTATGGTAAGCATAAATTTAACTATCTAAATGGAAAAAGAAATGCCTGGAACTAAATTTGCTACAACAAGCCACACAGTGATGCCTTCCTGCTGCGTTTGCAGTGGTGGTGGTATTCACACAGGTTAGGAAACATCTTTTAATGGCAACTGGGTAGATATCAACTCCTAAATGGCTGGCTCCAAGGAGACAGGTAAAGGAGGAGAAACTGGATTTCAGTCCTGGTTTTCTTATACCCTAAACACCTATACTACATTGCGTTGAAATGTGAGGCTTCAGAGGAGGTATGGGTTGATGTTCAGATCTCAACAGCGTAAAGTCTAAGGACCAACAAGCCTCATATTTCTTAGTCATTCAGTGCTAAATTTCCTACTCCACACAAGCAACTGTCTATTGGAAACATTGTGCTTTGCTGCTTATGCCTGCTTTGGATTCATAACACTGTGCTAACTACAAGTCTACCCTTGGTAGTTTGTCTCAACACCAAAGTTAGAATTTATGTTCCTTCTGTACTGTGTTTCTCAAATGAGAAAAGATAAAAATATCATTATTTTGTCTATATGCAGTAAAGTCTTCCTTTACTTCATTCAGCCTGATAAACAATAGAGTGCAGCAGCTAAAACATATTTACCTTTGAGAACACTATTTTAAGGGTAAAATCAACAGCTAGAAACAAAATCAACTTCAAAAAGCTTTTCAATCATTTTGATCAATATTCCCTGGCTTTCATTTGGAAGGTAATACTTCTTTGTATCCATATACTTATTGTAGTCATTCTAACATCAACAACACTTATTCATTTGCATCCTCTATTATAAAGTCCTCCTTTCTTAGAACTGAAAAGTAATTTTAATAATCATGCAGGCTTTTCTCTTATCAAAACAGAAATGACAATATCTTCCATTTAAAAATAAGCAAAAATGCAACCTCTTTTGGTGGGGAGAAGGTGAAGGGAAAGAAAAAACTATCATTTTGAGGATGAGATAAGACATTATATGCCAAGTTTCAAATTGGAAGAGTACATTTTTACTGTTGAGTTATAAACCTGTAAAAACAGGTTATAATGGAAATGCTGGCATAGGCTGCACTACTATAATACAACAGTGCACCACTAAATCACAAGTAATAGAAAAAAACCTGACACAACTATTTGTTGAAGAGAGTGCTATAGACAGTATGTGCCCTTTAATTACAACCTAAGGGGAAAATTCTTCCTGCCCTACTCTTGGGCAGAAACAACTCTACGTGTAGCAGAACCACTGTATTTGTGCTACAGTGATTGAACACCGAGACTGGGAGACATACATTTGAATTATGAAGGATATCCTCAGTCATCAGATATGTACTTTATAACATCTTCCATTATCCTAAAAAACTAAATGATAGAAATGTTTACATTTCACATACACCTGCAGACAATTGTGACAGGGATTATCTACGCCATCAGCAAATATGGGAAATGAGAGCTGGTCATTATGCACGATGCCAAAGATTCATTGCCAACCCCCATCTCAGGTATCCTACATGCCTGACATACAGGCAAGAAGGTACCTTCAAAGATGCTAAAGTGCCTAATTCCACAGGAGTAAAATAGAACAGACAAATGGCTAATGAGTCTGTATTCAAACTTGTATTTTTTTTTAATTTTAATATAAAGTTCTTATCTGGTGACAAAAAGATCTACAGGAATTCTGTCATTAAACAAAAAACAAGCAGGGCTGGGCTGATAAAAATAATAATTAAAAAAACAGTGAAAGAAAAGCAGCTTAAAATAACTGGTTAAACATATGGAAAGAGGTATGAGATTTTTCTGCTGAGGTGAAATAGCATTTGCTAATGACTTATACACTCAGCTGTGACATGCCTCTGACTGTAAAACAAAGTTATGTAAGATGGGTTGACACTCACCCTGGCTTCGCAGGGAACTATAATTCAGTAATGTGTGCTACTCTGACGAAGCTGCCCCCATACTGCCAACAACCTTGCACTCACTTAAGCTTTTATATTCTGTAAAAATGAACATCTGCTTTTACAGAGAATCTTATCACTGTGGTAGCACAAGCAACAAATGATATTGGGAGATAATAATATTCATGCACCTCCTGATGAGCTTCAGTATCCTGTCCGTTAGTCACACCAGCCTTGTTTTGGTCTTTGCAACATTTAGCTTTTAATACTTGAACTAAAGTGTTGGACTGTGTCAAGGGCTGGTAAAGAAACCAAGTGCATGTCCAGAAAAGAAAAAACTCTCATGATCAGAAGCAAAATTTTATTTATTTCTTTCCTAAGAAGAAAGGCGAATCAGGAGCAGCAGAGGAGCTAGTGATTTTCTGAAAGGAGAAAGGAATATTGCTCATAGAGGTATTTCTCTTCCAGAGGACTCCGTGGACCTCCCTGTTTCCTTCTAATCCCAGTGCCTCCTAGATGACTTCAATCATATGTTCTTGCTCTGACACACCCTAACCTAGTCTCTTCTTGCCCTGCACCTAATAACCATCATAAGATCCTCCCAAACCTAGTAGCTCCCTGCTTCCCACTGCCCAAATCCCCCTACCGCCATCCTTTGCAGACACTACAGTGCTGAATTTATTCCTAGAAATGCTATCTTGCAGTTATGCATCCACTTTCTACAAATCATAGCACTACATGGTTAATAAATGCATTAAACACTGCAGTGGCATCTCACCAGGAGTCAGAACACACATTATTTATGGCTTGTCATCCAGCAATATTTTTATATATCCACTACAGCATGCTTATCTGCATTACAGCAAGGAAAAGGTCTGACTGGGGACAGCTCCAGAGGTGAGCTTTAATTTGGAGGGAGGGGAGAGAAGAAGCACTTAAAGGGAAATAAATGCATTGGACCTGAATGCAAACAGGCACAGAGTGGGTGTCCGAACTCAGAAACCAGTCCCTTGCTGTTAGCTACACGTTTTGGTCCTTATGTGCTTTATGGAACGTATTGCTTACATGTTACAGTGAGAGACAACAGAAGTTTCATTACGATAGGTATCTG